TAAAAGGTAGGCTATTGATGCTTTTTGCAGTGCAAATTTTGTTTGTGATGAAAATAACAGTACGTTTTCGTCAGTTATTTTACCTACGGATCGCTGCATTTCTTACAGATTTCTGCTCATTCGAAATCGGATGCAGATGAAGTAGCACTGTATAAGATTAGGCCTACATTTGTTTTAATGCATTATTGAGAGAGCGATTGCGTGTGAATATGTGTTGTACCTGTTTAAATCATGAACATAAGTATCTAGAGGGAACAAACAAATTCCTTAATAACTACCCTATAACTTCCCGCTATGTCCATTGCCGTCAACATAGCCTTCACATTCTTTCTGATTTGAGTGATCCTTCTCTATCAAGCTAGCTAAATATGTTTAATGTGAATTCTTGCTAAATGTGCAGTTATATTACGGGCCGTTGGCATGAATTGTACTCGTGAGGGAGCGGTGGTGGAGCGCTCTTGGAGCGAATGAAAACCATGACTTTCTTTTAAAAAATCCGCTCCTCGCTCCATTCAAAATCACACGGCTCCACTCCGCACTCTGCTCACATACTCTGCTGGGGACGGAGCGGGCGAGGGCGCAGGCGCAATCATCAAACATATTTCAAAGGAAGCCGGCGCCACGGTCCTGACCGCATCACTGGGTGTTTTTAGGGAATATTTGTTTTTTGTTTTTTACAAGCGATTGGATTAGCTATTCATGTGGTGGACTGTCATGATTTTGCCTAAAGCAGGACACTAATGAATGATGCGCATCAGAGGGGATTAAGAAGTGGGTATACACAAAGCCAACTGATAAAGAAGTGGGTATACGCCGTATACCTGCGTATCTTCCACTACACCACTGTGTCAAACACTATAAAGGGGTGCACTCTGCAAAAAGTTTGGGAACCACTGTGCTATAGGATTTATTAATGTTATGAATTTTTGTTTTATGTATTTTTATTCATTTTTGTATTTTATATTTGTATTCGTTTTTTTTTTTTTTTCTATTTAGCTTTAAAGGGGTCATATGATGCTATTTAATTTTTTCCTTTCTCTTTGGAGTGTTACAAGCTCTTGGTGCATAAAGAAGATCTGTAAAGTTGTAAAGACTAAAGTCTCAAATCCAAAGAGATATTCTTTATAAAAGTTAAGAGTCAGCCACACCTACCTAAAACGG